CTTAGAAAGGCGATGTTGAATAATCCTTGCCAGGACCTTTCCCGGCACACTGAGGAGTGAGATGCCCCTGTAGTTGTTACAGTCTGTGCGGTCCCCCTTAAAGAGGGGGGGACCACCAGGGCATCCTTCCAGTCCTGCGGAACGTGTCCAGTGGGCCAGACTGTTGTTATGATGTCATGTAGGCCAGTTTGTGCACAAACGCCACCCTCCCTCAGCATTTCGCTTGGGAGATCATCTCTGCCCGGTGCCTTTCCTGGTCTCAGACTCTGGATCGCCTTTAGTACTTTCTCAACAGATGGCACCTCAGCCAGCCACTCACTTCAAATATTTGGGGCACCACAGCCTCTGCATTGTCATCCCCACTTTGTCCCACGATGTTTCCTATGTCAAGGGATTTCCCCTCCCCCAGGACTTCACAGAAATGCTCAGCAAATCTGCAAACCTGTTCCTGGGAGTCGGAGATTGGATCACCGTTTTTTCCCCTAATGATGGTAATAGGTGTGGCACTGCAGGTTACTTTTTTGATGGAGTTAGGTAAACACAACACAACAACACAACAACCGCCATTCGCCACTAAGTGGCGGTGACGTCACCACGATGCTTGTGCCAGGCCAAGTGCACCTTGAGGCCACGTGAAGTGTCGAACGCCCGCTGGCAGGAGGTCATGGGGCAGACCCAGGTGCCACGGGTTGACTGACCGAGATGACCGAGATGACTGGCTGATGCACCACCTGTGCCCCCTACTGTGCCAACTTGCTGTGCTTTAGCCACCCGGCGCTCCGCTCGTTATTGTGAGCGTCGCTCCTCCGCCCTCCGTTGTTGTTGGAGGGCGACTGCCTCCAACTGCCCAGTAGCGTCCTTCACGAGCCTCCTCCACTGAGGCCGATCTTGACACCGCTGGTACCAGTCATCGGCAAGTCCACTCAGCTCCACGTCCTCCTGTACCACATCACTCCATCTCCTCTCCAGCCCGTGCCGCGCCCGTCTAGCCCCCTTGATCCGGCCGAACAAAAGCTGTTTAGGCATGCGGTGGCTGGGCATGCGGGCTACATGACCCAGCCAACGCAGCCTTGCCTGCCGGAGGAGCTCACTGATGGGACTTTGCCCAGATCTTAGGTAAACACATACTTATACACATACATAGTTCTTGTTCTACCTAACTTTCTACTGTTCTATTTTTTAGTTTCACTTTGAGTCAAGTTCTGGATATGTTGGATCTAGATGACCTCCCAGACCAGGCATGCAACATTGCAGTTATCCCTCAAAATGAGAAAGATGCTGTCCTCAGTGATTGTGATAGCGATGGGTGAGATATGGACTATGAGGGGGAGACAGGCCATTTGCCAGCCAATCTGTTGAATGCATATGCTGAACTTATGTAAACAGATCATGACAGGAACAACGTTATCAGTGATGATGACCTACCCCTCCCCCACCCCCCTCCACTGTTGATAATAAAGAGCCAAGGGCCTCTATAAGCCATATTGGGCAGCCAGAAGAGCCAAGGGCAAAGCTGCAGTTGGTCAAAAATAAAGATCAAGTGTTCAAACGATCGAAGAGGCCTGCCACCGCTGTGATTCCAAACCACATAGTATACAGCCCAAATGCTGCAGAATGTGTAAAACAAAGCTGCCCCAACCCAATGGATGTTTTCCTACTAATGTATCCACCCATCCGAAGAGAGATCACCATTGAAATGTCCAACCTCTACAACCACCCAGACCAAGGACAAGCAACTGTATCTGAGTATGGATGAGCTCCTTACATTATATGGCATCATTATCACATCTGGGTACAGCTTTATTACAAGAAGACATGTACCGGTCACTTGACAGTGATGTACACAATAATAGCATTTCAGATGCAATGGCGGAGAAATCGCTTTGATGAAATAATGGCCTCAGTTCATATGGTTTACAACACAAAGTTCACTCACGACCCGTTTTTTTAATGCTAGGCTATTCTTCTCCGAGCTCAATCAGTCATACAAAGTCATTCCATTTCAGGAATGGCTGTCAGTGGATGAGAGCATGATCTGATACTATGGCTGACATGGATGTAAGCAATTCATAAGAGGTAAACCAATCCGTTTTGTTTACAAGCTATGGAACCTTGCCTCATCCAGTGGTTACATGTATCACATTGAGCCATATGGTGGATCCCACACTTTCCTCCCTGAGACTGGGTTGGGTCAGGGACCCAGTGTCGTTCTCGGTCTTGCAGAACAATCTCAGGTGCCTCAAGGTTGCAAGTTCCTTAATGACAACCTCTCCAGTTCGCCTGCACTCCTTGATGAAATGACTAAAAGAAGATATGGGAGCTCTGGAACGATGAGGAAAAATCGTCTGTTTGACGTTTTATTATTCAAACCACAGAAGGACTTCATGAAGTTACGTCGGGGAACCTTTTGAGGTTCTGACCCAAGGAGACAAGTTGCTAGTTCGTTGGAAAGACAATAACATTGTCACAGTGGCAACAAACATGGAGGAGAAATACAGTGAAACCCCTCTGTCAAGAGATGGAACAAGGAGCGACGTGCCTTTGACAAAGTCCCACAACCAAAATGCATAAACCGATACAATGAGCACATTGATGGTGTTGACCTTCACGACCTACAGGTTTCAAGATATCATATCTCGATCAGGTCTAAGAAGTGGTGGTGGCCCATCTTTGCATGGCCACTCAACAGTGCACTCGTAAACAGCCATTTCCTTTCACAGAGACGTTATGGGAGGGACCATCGACCTGCTCACCTTCTCATGGATAGTGGCACAGTCTCTTATGCAAATGTTTGGGACGAAACCACTGAGCCACGGAAGGAGATCTCTACTGGCTGCCACTGTTGACGATTGGGCAAGATATGACAGCTTCTCACTGGCCAATCAACACGATGCACCGGTTCCAGGGATGTCGTCATTGTGACAAACGCATACCTATGCATGTGATGAATGCAAAGCGCCACTGCACATTGAGTGCTTCAAGATATACCATGGACACAGTAGCAAAGGAGATAAGTGAATGAAACACAGCTGAAAAATCCAATGAAAGAAAAATAGAAAAGTCAAATAAGGGTGAGGAGAAGCAATACAACGGACTCTATGAAGAAAAGAAAAATCGACGAAAAAGGGAAAAAGACAATCAAAATGACTGAAATGTTTTTGGAAAAGAGTAGGTCTGACTGATCGTGGTTCAAAATAGTGATGGACAAACTAAATCGTGCACTTGGTTCTGAAGCCTACTGCCAGTGACAGAGTTAAATGTGTTAATAACTGGGCTGGGATATATAAGAATTTTCATGACTGGATAGGAGAAATGTGTTAATGCAGTATACATCACGTTATCCCACCAGTCACAATTGTGACCGACCATAAACACACTTTTTACACATATTTTTCCATAAAAAATTCAAAAAAATGATTGCTTATTTCACAGGGTTACTAATGGCACATGATTTGGATATTTTCATGTCTGGGAAAAATTCGGGATTGAATGGGTTAAAGCTCTGAAGTCTCCTGCTCTTAGCGTGACGTGAGGATTCCCACAGTCTAATGCTAGCGAAGTGAAATTTCGCACAAATCTAGTACCGGTAAATATCTCCACAGCACCTCGTAACGTAGCCATGTAATGATTCGCCCTCCCTTGGCGATTTAATTTAGTTGCAATTCAATTCAAGATTGTATTCTTTTATTCGTCTCATTTCACCTAATTTATTTGGAGTTTTATCCTTTTTTCTTCTCTCATTTGCGTAAGTGTTACCCCGTGAGTTGAAATTTTAACCCTGCAATTAATTACTGATCCTTTGGTCATGGTAGGGCCTCCACTGATCCCCTCTAAAAAAATCTAACATTAGCTTGAAAAAATAAACATTTGCATATCAATTTAAAGCTTTCGTGACTGCAGGGATTCATCTTCTTGGTTCTTTCGGTAAAGTCACGTACAAGGGAAGTAATAAAATAATAAAAAATAAAAATAAAACATAATAAAATAATTTTATTATTTTTATTTTTATTATTTTACTACTTCCCTTCTACATGACTTTACCGAAAGAACCAAGAAGATTTGCATATCATTTGCATGAATTGTGCATAGCCAAATATCACGCGCACAAGAATGTAATTTCATTGGTGGATAATTTTTAAATATAATTTCACCCTTTGACATTCCACTTCTGGGGTTGTTTGACCATGCTGCAGTGCACCGAGGAAGACCAAACATGGCAACTGTCTGCACAGTGGATGTATACCCATTAAGATTGGTGGGAGGTGGAAGGCAAAGATTTTACACCCTCACACCAGGATTTAGTAACTGAGACACAACATTTCAACTGCTTTAAAGAGCGAATATTTTTGTCTGCTTTAGAGGGTGACTTTAAAATTCCAAAGGCTAAAACTTGACAGTAATTCCACCGCTTGTTGTCAAACACACTGAGACTGTGACAAAATTTTAAAAAATGCAGACTAAATTAACATTGAATGCCCCCTTCAGAACCATGCCAGCCTGGGACCATTGTTTTCCAAGTTGAGTCGGGCCCAAACTGTTAAACTGGCCTCATCAGTAGGGGGCAAGGGACAGCGTCAATTATTTCTATAACTTTTTACCAGTCGATTGTGTGAATCAGCCATTCCACATTCATTGCACGCGACGTCAGCAGAAACCTAGCACCTCCTGAGCGGCACGGAGCTAGCTTGGCATGGCCCCGCCGCGCGGCTCTGTTGTACAGTGGAAAAGCAGTATCAGTCTCATAACGAGCTAGCTGAGTGTGACCTGCTTAACACATATTACATTATCATGATAACATTATCATGATAACACAGTATTGATTTTGAAGGCGTGTAAATTTGAGAGGAAACAAGATAAAAAATATTTTTTTTTCCTGTGTTTCCAATCCACTGTGTAGTCGTTTTCATAATCGATTACTGGTTCTCAAAGTCAGGAAGCGGTCATTGGTTTCAGTGGAATTTTAGTAATGAATGCACTGTTTGTCACACGTATTTATGCAGTGGGGCCCCTTCTGGTGGAATTCAACATTCCCGTGACCTTGGAGGAGACAAAGACCATGAACCCAAAGGTGCAAGAAGGTGGCCGGTTCCGTCCCGCAAACTGCATCTCCAAACAGAAGGTGGCCATCATCATCCCCTTCCGGCACCGGGATGAGCACCTCAAGTACTGGCTCTACTACCTGCACCCGATACTCCAGCGGCAGACCATCGAGTATGGCATCTACGTCATCAACCAGGTAGGAACGGCACACCACCCGCATCCGTGGCTGCCCCCTGGTTAAACAACGCAGGAATTTTAGCCGCAAAGTAAATGGGCGGCCGTCCAATTTCAAAGTGGATGTTAAACGTACCGTGGCGTTATATATACAAACAATTATAACCCGTAAAAACAAAGTTTTTCACTATAAATCCTTTATATGCGTGGCGGCTAGAGTCCTCTCGTCCTCTGGCTTGAGATGGCTGCCACCTATGGGTCAGATGATTGCATGCCACCATTAAGCAATTGGTAATTAAATATAATATTTTTGTCCTAAAAAGTGTAAAATTTTGGGAAAAAAAATTCACGAACATTAATTGTCACGTACAACGAGTCTGTGTGCAAAATGTCAGCTCGATTGGATCACGGGAAGTGGGTTAAAAAACGACTGAAAGATTTGCACGGTCGTAAGCGCGCAAGCAAGCAAGTGAACTTAATATAAAGGATTTAAAAATATATTCGCCTGTGGAGGACGCGGGGATCGATCCCGCGACCTTTGGCATGGGAAGCGAGGGCGCTACCAACTGCGCTACTCCGCCAGGGCCTGTGGAGGTGTCACGCTCTGTGTAATATGTTTAATATAAGTTGTTCATAATAAAGGTTTTTGGGTTAGATTGCGTTATTATCAATGTGTCGCAACCCTCCACCACCCGACATCGCTAATCAGTAAAAAACGTGTCACGTTGACAAAGACAAATAGTTCACTACTTTAGCCCACCGGTGTGTTGAAGAGTGGATCCATAAGATTTACAATTTGAGTACGCCATTTCGCTGAAAATTACATCCAGCGTCTTCGGGCGATTTTCCAGAATAGTGGAGCCATCCACCTGCTTCCGGTCTTAAATAGTGCAGGATGATGTCATCATTGTTGAACCCCATCATGATTCGAGATCAGGGGTGGTGGTGTATGCAATTATGTAATAGATAATTTTATTATTATTTAGATTTGAACATCATAAAATGCGTATATTTTCGTTCAAAACCACTTGAATCTGACATATCTCAAAAAGAATAATATAGAACAATGGTTTTCGTTTAATTTTAGTTGCCGTTTAATGCTTATCCAAGAAAAAAAGCAATCTTATATTTTGAACGGTTTCTGAATGACACACTAACATGTTTATGGGGCGTTTAAAATCTAGATTTGGGGGCCTTAAAATAAAAAGTCGGATTTTCTGATTTTTCTTGAAAGCTACCAATGTACCAAATTTCATCTTTCTACCTTGTCGGGAAGTACCCGAGAGGCTTATCCATGTAGCACCTGCCCCATCGCTCCATATCCCCGGTGGATGTATGCTCGAGTACATTCCACGCCTTGACTGCCACTATAATTATTCTTGACCATCGGCCATCTAACTAAAACTTTTTTTTTACCAGGTAAGGCCCACTGAGCTATGTATCTCATTTTCAGATGCGACCTGGCCATAAATGATAATTCAACGAAGAGGCATATCACCTGGAAATGTATTTCAGCCAAACACATCACTCGAAACATCATGTCTTCTAGCCACCACGTGTCCTGCCTAATCCCACTAACTTTTCTGACCATTTTAAAGTATGTTATTGGCCTGTGTGTGTGTTCTCTAATCCATGCGTTCACATTCCGGTCCCACAATGTAATTCAAAGCATGCACCCGACCCCTTTCTTCTTTGAGCATTTAATTTTTTGTTGTAATAACAACTAATTAATACACACCATGATCCTAATATTAAGTCTTGACAATTCGTAGAAGCCTCTCGAGCATAGGCGGAGTTTGACTTCTATATTTGGGGGGGGTTTCGCTTTGTCCCTTACGTTATGAATGGCGGGTGCATATAATTAATTTATTTTTGTTAATCTTAATTGTAAACTCCTGAAAATAAATTAATAAAGGTGCCCAGTTTGGGCGGGGCATTGACCCCCACGAGACTCTGTCATGTTTGGGAGCAAGTTACACGTTCATTAATTCTGACCTTGTTGTTACAGTGCCACCTGCTGCTTACTAAGCGAGTTTTACCAAATATCCCCTCAATTGATTTCTTAATGTCTATTGAAAACAAGTAGTACACTTCCACTGATTTAATATGCATCAAATCATGCATTTTTTATTTTCCACTGAATGGCAAATTGCCTGGGATTTAAATGGGGTTCCCAATTATTGTGAATTGGTTATCTCAGTTGCCAATAATTGCACAGAGAAGGTTTTGTTCAATTTGAGCTTACGGCAATGTGGAATGATATGGTTTGCGGTTGATTGCTACGCAATGACCAACTCAAAAGCAGGCCATAGAAGAATGTACTCCCCCTGCCCAATGTGGATTAGTGGGAATTGAAGGGACCCTGAGATGTGGTTCTATGATGCCATTCTCCACAGGCCGTTCTCTCACAGGGGATAAAAGGTGAATAACATTGCTCTCCGTTAGGCTTCTGTGCATTTCCTTGTCTCATAACATAGAAATTACCCCCCCTCAATCATTGTAAGCTGAGTTTGTTTTATAAGGTCCCTCTGATGAGTTTCAACAGCACGTCTGTGTACACTGGCGATCAATATCGATTACGGCTAGTGGGTGACAGGTGGGGGCTCTTAAGTACTGTAATCGTGTACTATCCACCCCAACCACGTGTCTCGTGAAGGCCTGTATGTCGGCCTGCTGAGTGTGAGAATACATATTGTGGCATTTTACAGATATTCAAAATAAATGTGTTTCCATCGATCTGGAGGCCCCTCGTCTCTTCAAATCGAGCGTGCAACAAATAATAGTCTGTTATAGTTCATTATTATTCCACTGCTAGGGGGTTGTTTGACCATACTTCACCACGGAGGTTAATGCGGGTTGGTAATTGGCAGGGGCCTCTGACCAGTTTAGATTTCCACTCGCCACTGATGTTAGCTGTGACCGGGAATCAGACTTCGGTTCCCGAATTCATAACACCGTGAGTCAACCACTACATGTCACTACTGTCCCAAATGCTAAAAAAAAAAAAATTCTTGACTCGAATCACACGGTTTGAAGCCTAGCATGTAGAAAATGCCAGATTTTTTCATGAGAACTACTCAGGGTGTGCATATTCCAAGTTACAATCATCTTCTCATTGTACTAAAGTGGAGGATGAGCCAAACAGAACAAGCAGGTCCCTTGCTGAATGAATCGTGAGACTCAGTGAGGCATCCCTGTGTATGAACTGGACATTCGTGTAATTATAATTGTTAACATTCGGAGCAGTCAGTGCTGTAGCATTGAGGCTGGTGAGCCGAGTTTGATTCGTGACCAAAGCAAACGTCGGTGACCAGTGTGGTTATACATGGTTAAACCACCCATTAACTGACAGTGTGGGAAGTGATTGACTGACAAAGGGGGGATGGACAATTAGTATTTTCTATCATCAATGTCACTTTGTGGGCAGAAGATGGCAGCACATCAATTCCATTGTTATATTATTCTTTGCTTCCCACAACCACAAATCCACACTGACTAGGTCGATGACGCATTATCAGATAAGCCCCATGACCGACACAGCGTGGGGAAGCGCTCATCAAGCAGTGGAGTGACTAAGGTCTGTAAAACGTTATTGCGAATTATTTCATGGTCGTTAATATGAATGTCGGCGCGTAGTTAACGTGCATTTCTCACGGTCACACACACGTTACGTTCGGGTGATCAACTAAACACTCGCTTTGGCATAACCTATTACCTCCTAATGTCTGGCAAACTGGACCATGCGCATGTGGTGGCTGCAGTTTGGAGAGGGGGTGTTCAACCGAGCCAAGCTCATGAACATCGGCTACGTGGAGGCCCTCAAGGACGCCCCCTACGACTGTTTCATCTTCAGCGACGTCGACCTGGTGCCCATGGACGACCGCAACCTCTACCGCTGCTACGACAACCCCCGGCACTTCTCCGTCGCCATGGACAAGTTCGGATTCCAGTAAGGGTCAACACCAGCCATGTAGTGTCGGGGGGGGGGGGGGGGGGAAGGAGCTGAAGGGGAATAAGCCCACCCTGATGAATGGCCCAACTAGTCTAAATTCCTCTTCATCGTCGTCATTATCAACCATGGTCAGTCCACTGCTTGTTGAAGGCTTTCCCCAAACCGTCACCACCACTTGGGATCCCGCGATGCAAAAATCCAACTTCGCATCCCCTCGCACAAACCGATGTAATCGCTCAATTTTATTGGCGGACGTCCTCTTGGATGCGTTCCATTCCTTGGCTGCCATTCCGTTATTGTTCCTGACAATTGGCCATCATTTGTGTACAGGTCCTCGTGTGTAAAATTGCACGCAATGTTGTGTACGTCTTGTCAACATTGCGGGTGCATAGGCTTACCAAAGCATGTATGTGAACACCCACACCAAACAATTTATTACTAAGATTCTATATCAAGTGTAAAAGTAGCGAACCGAAGAATGCCGCAACATTTTTTAATCGCATTCGTGCCAATGTTTATTTTCAGCCTCCCGTACAACTCGTACTTTGGCGGAGTGTCGGGCCTCTCCAAGGCTCAGTTTGAGAAGATAAACGGCTTCCCCAACAACTACTGGGGCTGGGGCGGCGAAGACGATGACATCTATACCAGGTGAGAAGCCGGGCGGCCGAGCTGCAAGAATGCCCCTTGGTGCTGCCCTGGCTGCCCCGCATTGTCGTTGTTGATTCCGGGCCCTGGTGGTTTTGTCCCGGGTCATGCCCTGGTGGTTTTGTCCCGGGTCATGCCCATGGTGTTGCTCACTCTGCTTCTCTTCCGTGTTTCCCTGCCCCTGACTCGGGAGTGCTGATAAAACACAAACAAAAAACGTCCACCAGGCATGAACTTGTCAGAAAAAGTAATGCAATAATACGTTAAAAGCAATGTATTATTATGTGAAACACCTTTGTGCAGTATAATAAACGGACAAGAAGCCCCCTTCCAATATCTGCCACTCCATTATTTTTTTCTTACATATCCCACCAGCAACATGACCTTCTGAGAGTCATTTTTGTCAGCGGCTTTGGTGTCATACAAGAAAACCCTGGACTAATTTTAACATTCATTATCTAAAGAGCTTTCTTGAACCATCGCTGATGTACTGCCATGGTTGACTGCGTAAGGTGCAAAATAGGTTCAACATACGTATAGGCAAGGACCCTCTCTTTTCAATATGGGTCCTAGTTCAACGCAAAACTATATAATACATCACGCAAAATAACCATGAGCATTATTGTGGGGAATTATGAATGACAAAATAAGTAAAAGTACAAAAGCTTGTGGAATTGAGTACATCCATTTAATTTGTGACAAATGGCATGTGGAGTTGTACGTAATAAGCTGTTCATATTTATTGGTGTTGTAATGAAGCAACGCGATTATCTGGTTCCCCTGTACGGACACATTCATGTCAATAGTAGCAAGGCTGGGTTCTGATGTGTACTGAAAATTTGTGGCTAGCAGACCTTGGCATTAGAATTTAGCGACTGAAGGTATTGCCACGAAAGAATGCAACTGTAAATTATAGTGAGGGGCGACAGTGCATTATTACATCAATGAATGTGCAGAGGACATCCTTGGTGAAGAATATGGTTCTGTTTATTTCTCTTTTTTCTTACGCAATCGTCACTGCAGCTCTTATAGAGTTCACCTTTGACGTCCACGTATCAAAATAATTGTTCTTCCACAGCAAAAAATTAACAAAACCTGAGACCTATCTATATCCCCAGAGCGATGGCATTGACCTGTTGGTGAAACAGTCCATTAAACTTGAGCATTCCACGATTAAGACTGGCCAAACAAATCGGCAAGTGGCTGTAAGTACGTTTGCTCAACGATCCTATTGACAGTTGTTACTCAAAGTATTTAACCTGCATAATCCTTTGAGATGGGACGGCTCTTTTTCAGTGGGGTCCCAAGTCCTTAAAGCTTGCAAGACCGTCTCTGTGGAGTTGTCTTTAAAGGGAAAATATAAAATAGACAATGTTTTGGGAAATGTCCCAGAACACCACCTGTTGTGTATTTTATTTTACTTTTTTTAAGGCCACAGTGTTTTTGAAAAATGTGTGTTTTTGGTTTTTGTGTTTGTGCACCACTGCCAACTCAACATCGCCAAATTATTCTAGCCAAACTAAACATAATTTTGTCATGTCCGTTGTGATTTGCGCACTGGTACCGACAATCATATTCGCATGCGGATGCAGCACACGATTGGTTTCAAACAATATGCAAAAATGCGTAAATTGTAGTTTCATTAAAATAAGTATTACGTATTGCGTACATCACGTCAGTGTACATAATCTATGTAAATGGTGTCGTACATGAGACTAATGTACATAATGTATGTAATGCATTATGCATATTGGGCGAATGTCCACGGCTTGGGCCTTATTATGTACATTAGCTTAACTTTAGCTTGATGAACACATACCTGTCAACCCCTTATCAGTGCCTACTTTATGACAGACCAATTCAGACCTCATTGGCCACACCGTGCCCTTATAAATCTCAACGTTTATCCCACAAAGCCCGTATTGAAACGGCTGTACACCATATTAACCTAAACATTTCCCAGGACAAGAATACGGGTAAACCGTATGGGTTGACAGGTATGTAAACATAAGGACCAAGCAGTGGATGCCAGCCATTTTGTACATGTGCAAAAATACATCCACTTTTCCTGAAGAAGTGCATTGTGGTCCTCTTGTGTTATAAGGTTTTACATCCCACGCTGTTATTCTGTTATCTTGGGGTTTTTTAAAATCACCATCTATAGTTTTGATGTGTGAGTAGGTTTTATTATGAATCCAGGCAGCATTGCAACTTAGGGCTGCGTGACTCATGGCGAAAAGATAGCTGAAATATGAGCTGTGGAAAATGACCACGTGAGCTCAATAGAATGTCTGGGGGATGGGGGGGTTATGTGAATTTGAGGAAGTGGGTACATTTTGCTTATCTGCCACCGTGCAAAAACACATGCAGTTATTATTACGGTATTATTTATTGTAGATGTGGTAAGAGACAGGAATGACAAGAACCACCTATGTTTACAGCAGCTAAAGCAGAGTTTTTAAACACACTCAGGACTGGTACTTGCACTGTTGCACATACGCTCAGTGATAAACGACATAGATTGTAACAACAATACTGTAAATAGGGCATAATGAATAGCGGTCACATTGTAAACTGTCCTGTGTAACCTTCAAAGGCTGTTGGGGCAAGTGCTGTTAGCGAGTAGTGCCTATGAAGGCCGGCATGGGACACGAGGGGGTGGGTGGCTCGCACCACGACCGGCCACCTTTAACTCCCCAGTGGTGATGTTTGCACGCCACACCAGGTAATCATTTGAGGCTGAGTTGACCTAGGGGAAGCCCAGAATCCATTCAGATAATCGTCACTGGTGTTGGTCATGGGCTAGAATCGATCGCGGGTAGCCGGGTTGGCAGCACAGAGCGCTAACCATTGCACTACTTCTCCCGACAAACACACACAAGGGCACGCACGCACACAACAACAACCGCCATTCGCCACTAAGTGGCGGTGATGCAACCACGATGCTTGTGCCAGGCTGTGTGCACGTTGAGGCTACATGAAGTGTCGAACGCCCGCTGGCACGAGGTCACAGGGCAGAACCAGGTGCCACGGGTCGACTGACTGAAATGACTGACTGCACCACCTGTGCCCCCTACTGTGACAACTTGCTGTGCTCTAGCCACCTGGCACTCCGCTCATTGTTGTGAGCGTCGCTCCTCCACTCTCCATTGTTGTTGGAGGGTGACTGCCTCCAACTACCCAGTAGCATCCTGTACGAGCATCCTCCACAGAGGCCGATCTTGACACTGCTGGTACCAGTCATCGGCAAGTCCACTCAGCTCCACATCCTCCTGTACCACATCACCCCATCTCTTCTCTAGCTCGTGCCGTGCCCGTTTAGCCCCCTCGATCCAGCCAAACAAAAGCTGTTTATGCATGTGGTAGCTTGGCATGCGGACTACATGACCCAGCCTGCCGGAGGAGCTCACTGATGGTACTTTGTCCAGATCTTTCAAGGATTTGTGAGCTCCTCACACAATCCAGCCTGGTTAAACCCAGGATGGATTATAGGCAGGCCAGCCTAAATGTTTCTAACCAGCGAAAATGTTCCATTAGGGGTGGGGTCCACATTTTGCAAGCGTAAAGAAGGGAGGGAATGACTGTGGCTGAGAAGATCTGAAGCTTCGTGGGGAGTGACAGACCAGGTAGCTTCCACACAGCGTTATGCAACCGATGAAAAGACAATGCCGCTCGACTGATTCGGAGTGAGACCTCTGCTGTCAAACCAGAGCTGATCATGAGCACACTGCCCAGGTATGGGAAACTCTCCACTCTCTCCACAACTGCCCCATCACCAATTGGGAGTTGTGGGGTGGAGTGTCCGATGGTACAAAATACCCAGGCAGGTGCTTAGTTTTGGTGGGGCTGATGGTAAGTGGAAAGCTCCAGGTTTAGCAGCAGTGCCTCTAACTCCTCCTCTGAGTGAGCAGCAATTACTAGATCATTGGCATACATAACATGGTTGAGCAATAGGGAGCCATCCCTTGACCGCACCCGGGCATCGATCAGCCTCCCATTATATCTGTACCAGATGTAAATTCCTCCAGTACAGCTATTGAAGGCTTCACGAACTTAGTGGTCAAAATAGATGTTAAATAATGTGGGAGCCAGAGGACATCCCTGTCACACCCCAAGGTGAATAGGGAATGGCTCCGACTCCTGGCCACGTAGTTTTACCCGGGCCCGTTCATCATCATGAAGGTCCTTAATGATCACGAGCAGAGGGTCAGGGACCCCGAAAGTACGAAGAACAACCCAGAGCTCAGGCCTACTGATGGTATCATATGCCTTGACCAGGTCAATGAAGCAGAGATGTAGGACTTGTTAGAATTCCCTACACCTCTGCTGTAGCAGACGGACAGAAAATATAGCATATGTGCAGGACCGCCCTTTTCTAAAACCGCATTGGGGCTCCGCAAGCCTCTCCTCAGCATGCCTGGCAAGGCGATGTTGAATAATCCTTGCTAGGACCTTTCCCGGAACACTGGGGAGTGAGATGCCCCTGTAGTTGTTACAGTCTGTGCGGTCCCCCTTCTTAAAGAGGGGGACCACCAGGGCATCCTTCCAATCCTGCAGAACCCGTCCGGTGGTCCAGACTGCTGTTATGATGTCATGTAGGGCAGTTTGTGCACAAACGCCACCCTCCCTCAGCATTTCGCTTGGGAGATCATCTCTGCCCAGTGCCTTTCCTAGTCTCAGACTCCGGATCGCCTTCAGTACTTCCTCAACAGATAGCACCTTAGCCAACAACTCACAGGGGGTGACTTCTTCTTCCAATATTTGAGGCACTACAGCCTCAGCAGGGTCATCCCCACTTTGTCCCATGATGTTTTCCAGGCTGAGGGATTTCCCCTGCTCCAGGAACTCCCTGAAATGCTCCGCAAATCTGCAAACCTGTTCCTGGGGGTCAGAGATTGGATCATCGTTCTTTCCCATAATGATGGTAATAGGTGTGGCGCTGCAGGTTACTTTTTGATAGAATTAAAGAGCGATTTGTGATCACGGGCCATTTCGGCAGACTC